GACTTATTGGAGATTTGTAGAAAATTCAATTGGCCCTAAGTTGATTCTAGTTATGTTAAGATGGAATTGAAATTAACAAAGCTGTGCGAGCCGAGGCAGTGTGCCGATATCATTGGAAACAAATAAATTTCTGAAAAACGATATTGATGGACGTTTTATTTTTCCTTTGAGGAAAATATTCGAGGGATTGGAATAATAGTATGTATAGTATTTTAAATACCTATTTGGAAATACCAGTTGTTCTAGTGACTAAACGTATGTTGCTTCTTGAACACACAAATAAAATTAGGTTAGAAATTTCCTATATGTATATGTAATTGACGTAGTATAAGCAATCGACGTTCATTTTTGTTAGTAATTTTTTGTTTCATCAGATTCGTGATTGATAAAAAAGGATGGGGTTGCTTCAAATGGGTGTTAAAAATACTATATGTACAATCGTGAGCATTGAAACTGGGACACCCGACTGACAGATCTTGTCATTTTTCACTAATTTGGGCACCTACATATATCAGTCTTTTCTCTATAACGGATTTTTTGTCAAATATGACAATCCCTATCTGCCGTAGGTATGTACTGGTGAGCTTGTTTTACAATAGCAAAAATCGGATGTCCCATTATATCTTCTCGATTTTGGATTGTATCATTTTTTCAAACGTGTTACCAACCAACTGACAGCTGGATTTTATTATTTTAGGTTTGACAATTTTGAAGGTACCAATAGGTATACTTCGAAAACTAAATGTCACTAAAAATCGTTGAAGAATGAGCTTCATTCTTCAAAGATTTTGCGTGCGAGAATATTACATTCTACACCAAAATCGAGAAATATTATCTATATTGAAGACCTAGGTTTTCGGTTTGAAAACTTTCTAGCGGTTAAAACGGTTTAACGGAAGCATAAACTTGGTAACTTGGTAAAATTTTGAGAAATCCGAAAACATTTAGGTATGCCTACTATTTTCTGTCGATTTACTCCAAGAACGATTGAACTCTGAAATATTTGTGTATTCGCTTTTTCTTAGAATTATTATATCCAGAAAACCAGCTTAAATCGAATCAATTTTGGCGCTGTCGAGTTTAACGCCCCTGTTCAGCTGCATGCAGGGAAAATAGTTAGTATTACGATTTTTGGACAAAACCATTGTTGGAAGAATGGGAAAATTTCATTATTTTAAATTTAAATCGTTTGAATAAGAGGAAGAATACTAAAACTTGTTGAAGGAGGTTTCTAAATTTTAAACGAGAATATCCAGTATTATGAAACTCATTGTAAAACAGAAGGAAACAATAAAAGTGCCAGTTCGAGGAGGATTGGATGATGCAATAGAATAAAAACTGACTAAGAGAGAACTGGTGTAGGTAATGAAATAACGGTCCTATCGGATTGAATAAATTTGGCAGTGGAATTAATAGGTTCCCAAGACGATAGAAAGATAATTGCAAAGAGACTTAGGTGAGCTGAATGTACTAACATCTATGAACTGCAAAAGGAGAAAATTCGAAAGAGATTGGTATATAAAGAAAATAGGAATAATAGAAGAACGGAGCGTCCAAAGAACGAAACGTGCAGAAAACTACCAACAAATTACCCTATATGTAGGAAACAGGAATCGAGGAATACACGAATCTGGGACTGTTCTGTTATCTTGTGATAATAGAATTTAAATGCAAACTTTTCTCAGAAATATTGAAAATTGACAACGTTTCACTAATTGTTATCCTAATCTTGGTTACCACATCAGGTAGTATTAAACAGGCAATAATAATTAAATAGTATATTGTCGTATAAGGAGTAGAAGCTTTACTTTTTTGTGCTGTAGCGGTAGGTTTGCGAGCCGAACGTAGTGAGGCTTGCAATACTGCTGAAGCACAAAAAAGTGCTTCTACTCCGTATGCAACACACTATTTTTTCTCCAAACGAATGGGGTAAGCTCGGGGGCAAGTGAATGGTTGAGCGGCACTAAAAGTACTTCTACTGCCGCTCCAGCGGCACTAAAAGTTCTTTTGCTGCCGCTGGGGTTGCCAAGCAGCATAAAAATTAAATTTCTACCACGTCGACAGGTGTTAACCCGCTGGATTTGCCAAGCAGCATAGAAATCAAATTTCTGGCATCTTGACAGGGGTTAACAAAGTGACGTTTTTCTGACGTTTGCAGGAAAAATACGTTTTTCTCCAAACGTCAAGAAACCGTCACTTTGTTAACCCCTGTCAAGATGTCAGAAATTTAATTTCTATGCTGGTAGGCAAATCCAGCAGGTTAACACCTGTCGAGGTGGTAGAAATTCAATGTCTATGCTGCTTGGCAACCCCAGCGACAGCAAAAGTACTTTTAGTGCCGCTCGTACTTTTACTGCCGCTCAACCATTCAGTTACCACCGAGCTTACCCCATTCGTTTGGAGAAAAAATAGTGTGTTGCATACGGAGTAGAAGCACTACTCCTAATACAACAATATACTATTATGTACCGTATATAACATCTTCCTCAATTGAATTTAAATTAAACGATTATAGGATTAGGAAAATCTACCTGATTCTGCTCTATAAAACTTACGCTGATTTCAATTCCGTTGATTTTTTTTTTTTTGTTCTTGAACGGGGCTGAAATATTTCCAACTAGTATTTATTTGCCTCTACAATTTTCACTCTCAGGCTTATCTACTAATATCTGCCGAGGATTATTTACACTGTTATGGATTAGTTTACCTATATTGTACGATTTTTCAATATCACTGTGATTCCTACGTTTATTTATTTATATCTTATATATCTTTAATTCAGACCAATCTTGTAGCTGGATGTTTTTTAGCAATTGCAGCTGCGGCTCTCACTTATCAATCCTTCCAATAAATTACATTACCACCTTCATCATATGATTTTTCCGAATGGACTGCTTTCTTGTCATAATTTCGTTTATTTATCAAAGCAATATCCTTACTTATCTTGAAAATTTTGTACAATTCTTGGTTCCAACAGTTTTTTATTAATCGGTAATCTAGTTTCTGTTCGTCTACTAAATATAAATTGGCTTGCGGAGGGATCAACAACAGTGAACATCTGGCCGTTGTTCGTGGATATCTGTAGATGTCCATGCATTTTTGTGGATGTCCGTGGATTTTTGTAGATGACCATCATGGATGTCAGTGGATTCCTGTGAGTATTCATGCATGTTTGTGGATTTCTGTGGATATTTATATGAATTTCCGCGGATTTATTTATCAAAGAAGGAATACTATTTACACATTTTGACCAGGAGCTGTTTCGTTCATAGCTAAGATTTTTTTTTTTTTTTCAATTAGTAGATGGGTAAGTCATTGTTTCGTAATCTTTATATGCTCGAAATGTCAGCATAATTTTTTAAAAAAACATAATTTTTATCTCAATTGTTTGTGTATTATAGTAGTCCTTTTTGTTGACCCATACATTGTATAGTCTAATTTACCGAGTAAAAATTAAGTTTTTTTTGCCAAGTTTCAAAAGTGCTACAACCCATTTGGATCAATGCAAACTCGAGTGTCAGGTCACGAAATAAACATGAAAATACCATTTGCCTCAGTTCAGCGTTGGGATTCACACAATAATAATTCATTTTTCTGCTAATTTAACTCAAAATTACTAACCTAGTTTTAATCAAAATTACTAACCTAGTGTTAAGAATAAACCAAAAATATGATATAGGAACCTGATACTTTGGTAATTATTTGTTCCAAAGTACGTAAATTTGAAAATAATAAATTACCCCAAAACAAAAGACCCAAAGGATTTTTGAGTAAATAAGACACCTACCTTAATGGAAAGAAATTTGAGTAGCTGATGAAAATTTAATAGAAAAGTTTGGGTAGGTACTTGGAATAGAAATGGTTCGGGAATATTCAAATAAAAATGGTATGATTAAGTAATTCAGATAGACAACAAACACTTCGTAGGCGTTTATTTGGAGAAGTAATATAATTCTTATTATAATAAGGATTTCTATCTACATTCGCTATTTGTTGAATATTTAAATAAAAGCAGGATTACCACACAATAAAATTAAAAGTAAACCCAAAATTCCCTGAAATCGCCGTGTAAGCGCCACTAATATTTACTGAAGAGTGAAAAATCGAAAAGTTTATTATTCAACGAGTGGAAAAGTTGGCAGTTATTCACTAGGATAATATTTAATATATTTAATATAACAAGTCTTCAAAAAAAAAGTATATCAAAGATGGCTATGTTTTTTTAAACGTATGTCTTAGCAATATTTTCCTATAATTTTGTAATATCACTCCAATTTGTCATTTGACTGATGTCATAAACAAAAACAAATAGAACACAAATGAAGCTGGCTAGAGGAGCCTATAATAACAGTCAGTAAGTCTAATTATGCAAATATTTCCTCAAATTCGTGTGACAAGTTCTGCTAGATAAATTAATTTGTTCTTGTAACCAAGAAATTGAAGTTTCTGGATTTTCATCAGTCAGTTTGACATTTATCAATGGAAACCGACGCGACGTGCATACCTACGTTTTTGTAATCAAAGCACCTTTAATTTGTTTTCTTTTTTTTTTGAAGACTCATTATATGAGAAAAATCCAATTCATATGCCACGTACCTACATCCCATTTATTGGTAACAGAAATGCAAATGTCAGACGATAATAAATTAATATGGAATAAAATCCGGATATTAATACCAAATATATCCTGTCTTTACTCAAAAAATTAACACTTTTTTTCAAGAGAATAAAACAAAATATCATACGAAATAGAATTCATTTTATTTATTATAGTAAATTATATCAATCTCACAAATAAATACATAATATACAAAACTCTATCACACCATTAGGAATTCTGTAAGATATTTACAATTTTTAATAAAATGACTATAAAAAATATTGATATTTTTAATTCACTTTCAACCAATTAAAAATTTGAGCACGAATATCCTAAATCTATTTAAATCAATACAAGTTTTATTACAGCCATATTTTCATAAAAGTCAACTCAATAAAACTTACATCATCATAACATTATCATCTAAATTAGTTACATCAATATCAGGATCCTCGCAACTTGAAGAAGTAGAACTCTTTTTGCTATGGCTCGAGCAACTCCTCAAACAGTGACACTTGGTACCGGGCATTCCACCCATAGACATGGGCAAATCCTCTTTCTTGTATTTGACTCTCCTGTTTTGGAACCAAATTTTGACTTGTTTTTCCGACAGCTGGAGACAAGTGGCTATTTCAATACGCCTTAGTCTTGACAAGTACATATTTGCAGAAAACTCTCGTTCCAATTCCAAAAGCTGAGTTGAAGTAAACGCAGTTCTGATTCTTTTGCTTGAATCTTTTGAAGATGAGTCGTGCACCGGTGACTTTCCATCTCCTGCTTGGGGACTTGGAGTTGAATCTCTACTGCTTGGTGGCGATAGTTTCATAATTGGAGATGAATGTCCACTCCCGGAATGCTTCGGGGTTAATGCTTGCGGTGATAATGGATGATGCACCATCGAAGGGATAACTCTAGGTATTGAAGCAACCGGGCGTATTGGAGGTTTGTGCTGTTGCTGATGAAAATGTTGCATTTGCATCAAACGTTGCTGTTGTTGATGTTGCTGAGCAAGGCTTAATGAAAACAAATAGCTACTAATGTAGTTTTGGGAATATGGCAGCATTGGCGTAACGTCGTTGGCACTAGGTGGCATCGGTGGAAGGCACTTCGATGGCTTTGAAGATGCACTATTTCCTAATAAGGAATCCACAAAAAAACTTCTCGATAAATGACTAATATTTTCCATTTTTTGGCACGACTTTAATAAACACTGGCACAAGAGACACTGAACACAAATTCACCGAGGGTTGCATTTTATGGACCCCTACTTCTTCAATCCACCCTACAGGTCTATTGTTGATGGCCCCGCCCTAACATGGGCCCTCAAGGTGTACCTTCAGCCCTCGTAAACAAATTGCATGGTCTTTGTGCCTAAGCTAAGCAAACATTGGCTTGCGATGGGACGGTATTAAAGTTTTATTCACAGGGGGTTAGAACCCAATTTAAAGCGACAATTGAGAGGGATTTTAAATTACTGGTTTTGATTCTAAGGATTCTTTGATTGTTATATGAAATAAACATGAGAGTGTGGGCTTTTAAATGTGGTTTAAACTTTATTTTATTTATTTATTTTTTTTGTTTAATTTTAATGAAAACAATTATATTGGAAGGTATTTAAATTTTGATAATCCATTCATTTGCATTTCAAACATGTATTTAGGTAGGTATATTGGGTTTTATGATTAAATTGTTAGTTCTAATACATTTCGGAGAATAGGCAGTTATCGTTTATTATTTATAATTTCTGAAACACTGGCTGCATTGAAAATATAAAATTGTAGTGTTGAGAGGATTTTCTTGTGAACTAAATTGATAAATTAAAATTACCATCTAATATATCGCACCTCCGGAGAAACAATGTCATAAGTGCAAATTTTTCTAAAAATGAGATTATATTGTCAAAATATTCCAATACCTTCAGACATCAAAAATATTTCAAAATATAAAATTTCATCTTTACCGCATAATAGGTCGTGAGTTTTTGTCAAATTTAGATCAAGGAAGCAGTTGTTGACAAAAGTATCACGTAACTATCATAGCAACCCAGAACAATACAAACAAATAATTAGGTGCTGTGTAGTGTACGTGTATAGTATTCTTATGATGGTAGTGCATCTGAAAATGGAGCAAAATAGCATGCCCAAGTTTATTCTTGAGGTAGTTGAAGAGGCCAAGGAACATGTCATTGTATACCTTTAAAGTCCAAAAGACTCTATGAAAAAACATATACGGACTTTATTTCCTGATGTGCCCAACATAGTATAAATGAGCAGCAGTACTTTGTAGAAGAAACTCTCCTGGCCTGGCATATACAATAATATGAAAAATGCAAAAAAACGCCATCCACCCTATGGAGCTTTTACTCAATGTTGAAGGCAACAGTTCTTTTGTGTATTTCTGTGGAAAAGGGCCGGTTTTAAAAGTTAAAAACTGTAAATATTGTATTTTCAATTTTAAAGTAGATTGAATTTTACTATTATTGCTTATTTCATTATTCTTATTAATTGAAATAAAGCTTGTTTTGTTGAACAAAGTTGGTATTTTTTGAACTAGCAATAGAAATACAAAAAGTTTTTAAAAAAAATTACGAATTTTTGCTTATTTTTGAAAGTTTCAGGCCCGCGGGCGTGAAAGGCGCCCTAGGGCGTAAAAGTACTACTTCACGCTTTAAAATGCGGGCGTAAAAGTGCACTTTTACGCCCGTTCGTGCATAAAAACTTTTAAATAGGGCAAAATTGTAAAATGAATTCAAAAAGCAAACTGAAGGTGAACTATGCATATTACAGAATCTTTATAAAAATTGAATTCGCCAGAAAATGTATAGTTTATTGTTTTCGTTTTGAGTTGCAGAAGCTCTGGAAACTTTAAAAACGTTTCCTCGAAATTTTACAAAGGACCCCGCAGAAAATTTATGAGAACTGGCCCTCAGTGGAATCTCATGAAATTTTACATATTGATAGTTCTTAACCTATAGATCAAAAGTGTCCACGGGCACAAAGTTCAAAAAATTCGCTTTTTGTGCTACCCATTCTGTAAGTTGACTTTTTTGACCTACGTCCATGAACTGTAAATGTCACTTACAGTCCAGGTCAAAAAAGTAACTTTTTTGATCGGGCCAAAAAAGTGTTGATATGAAAGGTGAAAATTGCTTGGTTGGTTAAATAAAAAACCCAAAACAAATTAAGGATACCTTTTTATTGAAACAAATAGAAAATACCTAGACGTCAAAAAGTTGAAATTAGCATAAACAGATAGGTATTAATAAAAAAATGAGATACCTACTTCATAGTTATTTACTTTGTAATTTTGAAAGTAAAAGAAACATTTTTACAACTAGTCACATTTAATACAGGGATACTTTCCTGTATTGAAGAACTTAAAATATTAGAATGATATTTATTATCTTGAATGTACGGTAGCACAAAAAATATCATATGCACCTCGACTTGTAGCGTGTACACTTACAAGCCTTGGTACATAAATAATTATTTTTGAGTTAGAGTCGTTCGAAGTTGCGTCATATGTTAAATTGCTCAAACCTTATACAATCCAGAGCTGAGCTAAGTACTCAGCGAATGTACTTGAAGTATTAAGTATTAAGTAGTAAATATTTCAAATATACTTACAGTATTAAGTACGATATTTTTCTAATGTACAGTCGGAATCATTGCAATTGGCACACACTCTTCAAAATCCCTCGTATTAAGTCAAAATTCTCACCAATAAATCTATTTAGTGCAGCATTTTGCTATTACTGTGTGTCAGATTTGACACATTACGAGGGATATTTATGTAGTGTGTGCCAATTGCAATGATTCCCACTGTACTTAAAGTATAGTATCCCACATAACAGTGAAAGAACATTCATATTCTCAGAATATTCCCTCAAAGTGCTTTTTGGAATGTTCTTTTAGGAATGTTCAATGAATATTCTAAGATTGTTTCGATTGAAATATTCATTTTTAAACGTTCTATTTATGTACTAGGAATGTTGCTTCTATGCACCTACCTGAAAGATTGTGCTAAGAACCTACTTTATATAACATTATTTGAATATTGTCATACGAACATTATTATAATGTACCCTAAAAAAATTTTCTTTCGGCGAATATCTCTATCAAGTATTAAGAATATACTTACCAAGTTGTGCTGAGAAGTTTATGTAGGTAGGTAACCATGACAAGAATATTTTCATATTGTTCACCTAATTATGTAAAGTACCTACTCAAAAATCTTAATTGAACAATTAAACAATATTGCTCTATCTAGAATCTACCAAGAATATTATGGGTATATTCTTTTTCTTTTGCTTTGTAGGACTTCCAAGAGAGGGAGCCACGCGCTATTAAAGATCTACATCTTGCCTAGCATTTGAATCACCTTGGAACCTGTTTCTCTCAGTTGGCGTAGCGTGCTTACCGCGACGAGAGCATCAAGCTTGAAACCGGAGCTTTGGTTAAACACTTGTATTTTCCAGAGAAGTTTTCCGACAACTCTTTCACTTCCTTTAATATAAAACGACTAAAGGAGCATTATTTGGAAGCGAAAATTAACATTCCAAGTCTCCTAGAATCAAACATGAATGTTATGTCTAGGATGCATATTGAGAATGTTTTTGTAGATATATTCTAAGAATATTTCAAGCATATTGGCACAGATATTGGTATAATATTCTTTTGAGAACATAACTATAATGTCATAGAAACATTTTTTGAATGTGAGAATATACATTTCAAGCATATTTTTAGAATCAAACAGGAATATTCTTTTCAGGATGTACTGAGAATCTCATAGGTATATTCTAGGAATATCCTAATGGATTTCCCAGGAAGTTCTTGGGTATTGCAAACAGTATTTCTACAATCTTTTCTCAGAACATTCTCAGGACATTCGCAATGGTTTTGGCGAACATTCTAGGCACATTCCTCCTAAAAAAAGAACATTCTCAGTACATTCTAAGGATGCAATTTTGTTATGTGGGATTTTACTTAAAGTAGAAAAAACAGTATAAGTATCAGTACCAATTATTTTCAGTATACGGTATTTGGAGTAGGTATGTTTTATTAGTTTTTTACATTATAAGTGCGTTTATGAACATGGATTACAATAACGAGTGTGAAAGATTAGAACGACGAGGTCGTAGACCGAGTCGTTCTAATTACACGAGTTTTGTAGTCATGTTTAAACGCACGTGTGATGTACAACTTTCTTTTTATCTACAACGCGAAAAATTAGAATATTTTTTTTTCAATCATTTTCGTTTATTAGTCGTTTATACCTTCATTTTACCTTTGCAGGTTCACCTTTGACATTTGTCAAATCACCAAAATAGTTATTTGTGTACCAAGGCCGCAAATTTCAGATTCGGCCAAAAAAGATTATTCGGCCGAGGTGCACATAAAATTTTTTAGGCGAGTGTTTGTTCTTGGAAAAAGACGAAAATTCAACAATAGCAAATTCTAAAATTAAAAATTTGGTTTCATTGTGGTTGCTAATTGTTTATTGGTTGTGCTGATGGTTACGGCACCGCGTTTTTGATTGTCTGTTTATTTTCACCAAAGTGGCGGCCGTAAAGTAAAAGCGGCCGTAAAGTAAAAGCGGCCGTAAAGTAAAAGCGGCCGTAAAGTAAAAGCGGCCGTAAAGTAAAAGCGGCCGTAAAGTAAAAGCGGCCGTAAATAATAGAGCAAATGCGGCCGTGAAGTAAATGCGGCCGTAAAGTAAATGCGGCCGTAAAGTAAATGCGGCCAAAAAAGATATACTTTAGGGATGATATTGAATCCGTAAAACTAATCTTTTTATGACAGTCGCCTAAAAATAGTTGTGTTATGAATTCATAAGCTTGTCCATAACACCACTAGTTGTGTTATGAATTCATAACCTAGACCATAACACAACTAGTTGTGTTATGAGCCTCATGTATAGTTATGTAAAAACGTCATAACCAAACGCTTGTAGATAAATGCATTTAAGTACCTACTATACATACTTCAAGTAATTATAATAAGTACCTAGAGTATTTATATGTAGGTACTTTCTTAACACATGAAGTGTCACAATAAAAGCATTTTTTTCGAGTCCCTGAGGCCATAAACATAGTATATTTGCAGTTTTTATTTTGTAAATATTGGCCTTGTTGGGTCACATACATCCACCAATCAATAGGTCAAGTCTAGGAATATGTTGCTA